AAAGCTTTACCACTTCTATTCTGAAATATTTATTTAAAAATCAAAAATGACTTTTTTAAATAAAAGCTTGAATTCCAAAAAATGATTATCCTTTTATTTAACACATAAAACCATTCTCTAAATTGGAAAATAAAAAATTCGCATTTATTCATAGTGTTCTTTTTTATTGGGATAAAATTATTAAAAATGATGTTATTATATAAAGCTAGGTTGATTGGAAAGATAAATACAGGATGATATAATTAATTCTCTTGGAGTGGCTCTAGGAAGTATTCATACCATAAGTTAAAGAAGAAAATGATAAAAGGAAGCATATATTAGTGATTGGGATTGATATTCAGATTACTGGTGGATGAAATTTATAGTCTCTAAGTTATCAATTAAATTATGAAGTAAGGTGATATTTGTGATTTTATCAAATGCTATTCCTAAAAATATCAAACTACTATATTGCTGGTATTATATGATACTTCGCTTTGTTATAAACAAAGCGAAGCTAACCAGGTGTCTACTTTAGATACAACAAAATGTTACCAATCAATCCATTAGCAGTTAATCAAGCCTAGAAGTCTTAAAAAGATCAATTAAAGTGATGAATCAACAAATATAGCAACTATTGCTGATGATGTCTAATTACCATTGGCTGATAGAGATAGTAATGAATATGTATAGATGTTGAAGGATTTATCAAACTTAACTCAAAAATAACACTAGTTATGATTAGATATGGAAGAGCGCAATCTAAACGTAAATCTGTTTTATATGAACATATATTATGTATAAGTAAGATCAATAACTTCAAATGCTATTGAAACAATTTTGAAAGCGCATATAAATTTGCTAATTAGAAATTCAATCTATTCTCTATTAAACACAAAAAAAGACAAGAAAAGCTTTAGAATCTCATAATTTAGCAAATTAACTGCTCATAATAACCTCCAGCATAATTTCCTCTAGAATTTTGATAAAGATCAAGTTAGATTAACTTTTTATTGAATTTATTGCATCCTCTCTGATAGCTTTAGAAAAGTTAAAACTTAAAGAACTTATTGGGCGATAAATACCATAATAATTTCTTTTTACACCTCATAAAAATTAGTTTAAATTGGGAATTGTAAAGATCTTCAAGCTCTTGCTAAATAATTGATAAATAAAAGATGAGATAATCCTGAAGGAATAGCCATATAAGATTCTTTGGTAGTGTAGTTTATAAATAACTAATAAGTAACGCTGAAAAAATAGGATAATCAATATTTTGCTTTAATCAAATTTAAATTGATAGAAGACAATTAAAGAAGCTAAATATACGTTAGAATATGGATTTTCTAAATAAAGCTTAGACAAAATTTAATATCAATTAATAATCTTTTTCGTAAAACAATAAAAGAGATCAATTTGTTAAAGAATTATTATTATTTCATTAATTCGTTTTCATATATTTAATTTATCACAATCCCATAATTTTTGATCCATGGTACTCAATTGTAATATATAAAATTACGTAAATGATTCAATTTTTACTTTTAAAATTTCAAAACATACTTTAACAATCCTCTATTCGATTATCAAATTTTTATTGTAAAAAATTAACTTATTAAATATACTACACTTAAAAAATTCTATTATTGACTAAAATTGATATCCTCCTTTTATTTTTTATTAATAGTTTCTTAATTTAAGAATTGAGCTGCTCTTTTTGTCTTTTAAAGATATTTTCTCGTTTTCATACCCAATAGATAAAAATGACTTCTATCTAAATTAACATAAACAAAATTCTGATAACCTTTATAATATATTTGCAACTTAAATGATAATGGTATTTTTTGTTTCTCTCCTACTCGCTAGATTCCAAGTGTTTTTTTGTAGAAGTATAAAAAAAAGATCTATTATCATACATGTCATTTATAACATTATTTTTAATAATCATCCTTCCAAAAATAACTCCATAAGAGCTGCAATTAAAAATAATATATTTCTCTTAGTACCATATTTATTTTAGTTCATTATATTTAAGTAAATATTAATGGCACTTGAATTAATCCATTTCTCCTGATTAAAGTGGATCCAATTAAACATTATTTATTCTAAATTTATAAAAATTTAGTAATATTTATATGGGTTTTAGTTAACATACTTATTATGCCTATTGTGGGATCTGATTATATTTATGACATCCCCACAAGATTTAATCCTATTTTCAATTTTAGAGAATCCTTTATCTCCAATTGAGAATCCTCAAAAAAAATAAGCAATTTAATCAGTAAGAGTCAAATGATTTTTGGTGGAGAATATAAAAATGGTAATAAAGTTGGATTTTGGGATACTATATATGTTGTATATAGTAGGGAGTAGTAAGAATTGAATAATTATTTTTTTATTATAAATTACTCCACAATTCAATGACAAATGGGGAGGTGGAAAATATTAAAATTCTATTAAGACTGGTAATTGGGTTGAATTGTGTAATTTGTTTTTTATTATACTTAGTTATGAAATATTAAGGGATTGTTGGGTTGCATTCGAAGGCGAATATAAAAATGGTCTTAAAGTAAGGTAGTGGGATATTAAATGCAAAAGAACAAAGTTGTAAGATTGAATAATACAATTATTGGACAATATGATTTTAAAAAGGCCATTGATAACATTGAAAATTCCTTTAAGACTGGATAATGGATTGAGGAGGCAGAAGGTTTCTTTAAGTATTTTTTTATTTGATATTTTGTGGTTATTCTAACATCATTCATCGAGGTTATTTTAAAGATGGTAAAAAAGTTGGTAGATTAAATATCATTTCTAAGGAGAAGGTGAACTAAAGTAATATTTTTATTATCATAATAAAAAGTGGTGGTGGATCTTATTAAGAAAAATTCATGGAGTTGAAAATTCAGTCAAAATTGGTAAATGGGTTAAGTTTTGTGAGTAGTTTTAAATTTATTTTTGTTACATGATAGGTTTAACTAAATTTACACCACAGGTGAATATGATAATAATGGTTGCAAATTTGGCAATTGGGATATAATTTGTAACTTTACTTGTTTGTTTAGGATTAAAAAAAGATGTATAAAAATTATTTAATATTGTTATTTATAACAACAATTCATAACAAAGTGGTGGTGGATTGTATGTTTAGAATGAGAACATTGATTACATTAAAACTGGAAAATGGATTGAACTGAGAAATGAATATTTTGAATTTAACTAAATAACATATCATGGAGAAAATAATAATTGAAGAAAAGTGGGGAGATGGGATACTTTTTTGAATAAAAAAGAAAAAGCTGAATTGATGTAATGTTTTTAAATTAAATAATTACTGTTTTAGTTGTGAATACAGCGGAGGTGGATAATATGATGAATAACCTGGAAGCGAAATTGTTTAAGGTTCAATTAAGTTTGGAAAATGGATTGAAATAGATGAATATAGCCTGAGCAATTTAGTCATATTTGTAGGAATTATAAAAAAAATTAAAAAGTAGGCCTATGGAATGAGATGATGAAAAATAAAGATGGAATAAACTTAGGGTTTATTAATATGTAATTCAAAAATGAAATTATATATCTAGGAAAGAGATATTGTATGAAAAAGAGTGAAGAGAACAACGTTTTCCATGAAAATTTTATTCAACATTAAATAAAATTAATTTCCGTTTTTCAAAATACTTACATGTTAGTCTCTTCAATCTTATTCATAAAAATAGCTTGTTTAGTTCATTAGATGTAAATATATAATTTAATGTATGATCATGCTGATAATACTTATACTTGATCAATAAAATAAATTATTGAATGGTTAATTTTATGTTTAAATGTACCACATGATAAATAATATAGACTTTTTATAAATATATTTGAAAGAGAATGAGCTTTTGTAAATCCTTTGATTTTCCAGAAAAAGATTGCTAGAAATAAAATCGATAAAATTCATAAACAATAAATTACCTAGTTGTGCTTTTAATTAATTAAATGCATCTCTAAATAGAATTGCATATAAAGCTGTATTATCCATCAATTAATAGGCAATTGAAGTTAAATTAAAGTTTGATTTATCAATTTTAAACTAATTATAATATATAATTTATCAGAATATAAATAACATTTAGAATCGAGGCTTGATTAAGGTGGATACATTTGCAAAAAATATAAAATGGTTTTTATGCTATTGATTTAGATTTCATTAATTTTATTAGAAGAATATTAGAAAATGCATTAATGCGATTAAAAAAGTACATCAAATTTGTTAGGAGACTTAACAGAAGTAATAAAAGTTGGATTATTAATTTTAAGTAAATTCTTAAGCCTCAAAAAAAAGATTCTTAACAAATATAACAGGTTGAAATGTCTCAAACTTATTAAAGCAGGCCAATTACAAGAATTACTTCCTGTGAATGCATTTACGGGTTGTTGATACAAATGAAAAAAATTAAGATCAATTTACCTAGAAAAAAGTATATATTTTAATGAAGAGTTTCAGCTAAAATTTTATTGACTAATAAATCTTAATAAAATCCATTTAAAAATGATATCAAATATTAATTATATAATTTAAAAGAGAGTATATTTATGCATTTTCATTCAATCACATTTTCTATGTCTTCTACTATCTATTTTTTTTTTATTCTTAAAATTTTTAATAATAAGGATTGCCCCTTTCTTAAGATAAAGATAGGATTATTCTTTCTCTTTGAAAATAAACTCTTGATCTGTTAATAAAAATTAGAAGGACATTCTGATTGGAAACCATATTATTATTAATAAGAAGAATATTTTCCTATTTCTAATTATGGAGATAAAATTATTTAATTTTGGAATAAGGATGAATAATGGAAATGATGTTAAAAATAAGTGCTCATTTAAAACACAAATAAAAACATAAGTTTAAATGATATTGAAAATTTGATTGATTTCATGTTCATGTGATAATACAACTAAATATTTGAATTTAAAAACATGAATTGGATAATATTTCAAACAACTTATGTAGAAAGATTACGGCTTAGTAATAATTTAACTACTTTTTAGTCTGAAAATTTAAAACTGAGCATAAATTAAACTAATCAGAAGGCTTAAGGAATCAATAAAATATTGTAGTATAAAATGCTAACTATTGCGCCAAATTATTTCCCTATAAATTGATTAGGTCTAAAAAATATAACTTAAAGAAATTAGAATTTTTTTGATCTAAGAATTATTTGATAAAATTTTATAACTTGCTTATTATATTCAATATTTATCATTATAAATAT